AGACGAGGTCTGTTGAGTTCAGTGAAGAGGGCAGAGGAGGTACTGGGATAAATCTAGCTAGTGTAAACAGCTATTCTGTTGAAAGCTGCCCTGAGCTCTGCCTTCCAAAAGGATCTGTTTGTGTTGATGCTGGTCATACATAATAAAAGCAATATATTGGGCACAAAGTAGGAGGGCAATAAATATTTCTTGGATAAATGACCACATGACAGCAGCTTTTTCTTCATTTATTGACATTTGAACATGCTCCAAACAGTGGATTCATGGCAATTGTGTCCTTTGCTGAAATGATTGTCCCTGTTTCATGTATGAAGAATAGCTTGGACTTATCTTATGTCCCAGTTTTGGAAGCAATGATGATGGAGCAGGACTAAACCCTGACTCTGCTGCATTCTGACTTCTGGACTTTTACAAGACTACTCTTTTTATGGTGCTGAAGATGGAACTCAGGGTCTCCCACATGCTAGGCAAGTGCTCTGCCACCAAGGTCAAACCCCAGACCATTTTGCAAAAATTTAAGGCAGAAAGTGCTATCCTCCCTAACATACACACACCCTCATAGATACTCACTGAGCCTTGGTATGTTCAATATTCTGAAGCCCACATTTTTTATAAAACAAAGTTTATTTCAAAATATAGTGAAGTGGCATCATTGTTCAAAGCAGGTTTTACTAAAAACTCTGAATTGCTGGAACAGATGTATGTATGGATGGATGGGTGTATCTGAAGTGTAAGCTTATCCTTTCCTGCCTTGATGTCATAAGGAAACAGATACTTCATGTTATATGATTATAATTAGAAGCCTAGTCACTAGGCAAAGTATTTTTAAACCACGTTAATTTCTTATGTTTCTGGTTAATGTAAAAAATGAATCCAGTTGAAAGTGGTCTGTGTGAGGTTAGAGCATGAATGGATTTTCATTTTCTAGTAATTTATTATTGTTTGCACCACCCTCATGCCCAACCCAGATACCAGAAATCTAATTTTCTAATGACATCATTTTACCTCTGGCAACTGGCTGTGATAGAGGATTCTATGCCTATGAACATCAGCAGCACATGAACTTTGAAAGAACAAAATCTTGTTTTTAAAGAATGAGATATGGAGATAATTTTAAGCATTTATGATATAATTTAAAATAACACCCAGAATTAGCCTGCATTTTCCAAGTCATCTTTCTAAATATAGCACTTATTTTGACAATAGTATTCTTTGGGATTCAGAATGAGCCCTAGGAGTATAGCTAAGTGCAGTTCCCTGCCAGTCCTCCCTGCAAAGGCCCTCCCTGAGTACTGACTAGGTCTATAAGGATGAAACTCTGCCCACCACCAATGCCTTTCTACTTCCCCTGTCCTTCTTGGTCTGTCTATACTTCTCTCAGTCCCACCTCGTCCATTGGGTTCTGTAATGATCATAATGCCAACTTGATGGTATCTGGAATCATCTAGAAGACAAGCCTTTAAGCATACCCTTGAAGGATTATTTACTCTCTAGGCACACCTGGGGGAATTAATTGAGGTGGGAAGAGCCACCCTAAAAGTGGGTGGCTCCATTTTCATGGGTTGGATCCTGGACTCCTTAAAAAGTAGAAAGTGAGATGAGCATATCATTCTGATTGCTAACTGTGGATGGATGCTGTGTGACCAGCTCCTCCAATCCAGCTCCTCCTGCACTTATTTTCCTGCCTTGCTGGGCTATGACCTCAAACAGCAAGCTGAAATGGACCTTTCCCCCCCCCCCTTAAGTTACTTTTGTCAGGGTATTTTATCACAGCAATTGGAGAAGAGGTCATAGACAGGCATCTTCCAGTCTGAGAGCCTCACAAGGAGTGTTGGGAAGGTTTTCAATGTTCAAGGCCTTGAGCTTATTACTGGACAATGAGAATTCTGAAATTACAAGATGCTCTTTGCTTTCTGAATGAGATGGTGTATTCACTACTGAAAGGGTTTTGCAGGCCCAGAGGGTGGGAGCAGCTTGCTGAAGGAACAAGCTACAAAACTCATTGACAGTGCAGTTTTAATGCTAATTTAAGATACTACCCATTAGTAGAGATTTTCAACTTTCTAAATAAGGTTAGAACAACTCGTGAGATTGTTTTTGTGAATCCTGTAAAGCATCTTGTAATAAGTACCTAAAGCAATGGCACTGCTTGCACCCATTCTTAATGAGATTAAGCTATAATAGGAATCTTTCCATCTCTCACTCCTACTCACAGCACTTTCTCTTCGGCATTCCCTGAACATTTCCTGTCTGCTGTTTGGTTATTGCTGTCACCTACTGTCTCAAAATAAAACTGCAGTGAGTTTCCAAGAGATTCCCAGTGTTGTGCACTTACTAGAAACAGTTATTGAAGAATGGGATGGCACTCAAACTTTCCCTCAGAAGAGTTGATAGTACAGCCTGCTGAAATGGTCTGACAATCAGAGTAGCAGGAAAAATGGCAGGCAGATTTGTTAATGCACTTGTACAATGAGATCCATAAATGGGCGGTTAAAGGCTTAATACCCTTCCCATAGGGAAGGAGTGTAGGAGGAATATAGGTAGTTATAGAGGGGTAGGAAATGATTTTAGAAGAGATGAATAGTACAGGGAAGAGATAATGACCTGTGATACAATTTCTCCAGCTGTAGGCATGATGCCTGATTTTTAAGTCTTATCTGTGAGGTGGAAGGTGATTCTATTTAACTTTAGTGGGTTTGGTCTTTAAGTAGTCATGATGACGTCAGAGCTTCATCCAATATTTGCTGACTCCAAAGTGCCTTGAATATAAAATTTCAGCATCCCAAGATACTGTGTTTGGAGCTACTCTTTCCTCAGAGCTGAGACGAGTAACAGTTGTTCATAGCACTATGAACTGATTACTCCCTGAGAAAGATGATAGTTAGCCTGTGTGCTACTGCTGAAGATGCATCCAGGCAAGCAGAGTGGGCTCAAGAGTCCTGGTGCCTGCTGTGCATTTGCCATGGTGAGTTTGACATCTGTTTTTACTCATCCAGCTCATAAACCTAGACTTGATGCTCCAGAATCCTGTTCTAGATTTCAGTTTTTGTTGAACACTTAGGATACTAAATATTGTCCAGCTGCATGGTAGTTTATTACTATGGACCAAAGAGTTGTTTTTTTTTCTTCTCTGTTGGACAGATTTCCCTATATCATTGTATGAGCAGACAACATTGCTAGTTTCCTTTGCTCAGTTGGCAGAGGCAGATCAGAAAGCTGTCTGATGTTAATACTTTAACCAGAATATTTTAACTCCCTAGCTTGCTGAATTATTTATGTGCTTCCTTAGTTCAGTTTTATGCTTTTAGCACATGCTAAGATAGCAAGTCAACTGTTTTACTTAGAATGTTCTAGATTTCAGTACAATAATAGAAATAGCCCACCAGTTTTGGCTCTTAAAAGGTTTACAATAAAAAAAAATTACAATTAGACTATTTAATACTTATAAACTATAACTGCAGTGATTAAATTAAAGTCAAATGCATTTAATGTCTTACCTTGGTTTTTGGTTTAATTTTTATGTCTTTTATAAATGTAATTGCTGAGACATTTGGTAGAGGTGGGGATAAGATAAAAAATACTCTAGACCCATGGGTAGGTATAAATCCAACCCATTGGCTTTCCTGTTTTAGGTGGTGAACTGTTCAGGACATCCTTGCAGACTCCAGTAATACATTTAGTTAAATATAGAACACTATCCCATTCCTTCCTACTATTAATTTAGTATTGGAAAAGCTGTGCCTATCAGGGTTACCTAGCTGTAGAAAACTGACCATAATTTTGTTATCTTCCTGCAAATGAAACTTTTCTACTGCTTTGGTTTTGTTAAACATTGCTACCAGTGTTTTGTTTATTTTCCAGTTATTACTGATCACTTTTCCTGAGTGAATTCCAGGTAAAGGTGTATGGCAGTTTTAGTGACTAAAGTTGAGGCTCTGCAGTCAAACTTCTGAATTTGAATTTTGGCATAATTTGCCCTGTAATCTTAAACACATTCCTTTTAAGTGCTGTGGATTTTAGTTTCTAGGGTATAATTTAGAAATTACCTAATGGGCTTTCTGTAGCAGTTAAATGTAGATAAATTAGATAATCTATTTTGTGAGTTAATTAGTTTATGTAAAGTCAAGGGTATTTCATCCATCTTGAGAATATTCCTTATTTAGTGTTTGTCTTTGTCTTTCTAGAGAAACCATTGATAACTGAGTATTCAAATATAGGACCTAATATGTATAAATGTATCCAAATGATCTGTAGTCTTATCTTACATCGCCAAGCTGAGGTTAGATGATTATTCAGGGAGAGTTCAAAGAAAGCTATGATCTCAGCCTTCTGTGAACTGTTTACTAGAGACACTTGGTCTGACCTATCCTCCTACCACAAGAAAACCTCGAAGTCAGGCTCTCTAGAAATGGACTATCATGACACTGGACACTTTGTTGTGAAATAATTGATTCTTTGGTTTGGGAACCTTTCTCTTCCTACTACTAGGTTGTAAACCCTGTGATAGGAGAACCCTTCCCTTTCTTTTGCCCTTTCTAGTCCCTAGTACCACATGCCTACAAACATGTGGCAAATATTTGTCACATGACTGAGTAAACTCTTACATTAGCAGTAAACAGGCTGAGATGTGGACTGGACATGACTTATTTAGGTCACACATTTTATGCCACGGCTGTAACTAGAACCCAAATTTCCAGTCTCCTGCACTGTGCTGTCTCTATTCTTTTACTATGAAAGTGTAAGTAGTAGAGGAATTGGTTGGCATTATCTACAGATGACTAGTACAGAGGGAGAACACACATTGCAGAGAGTTAGCATGGATGGGGAGAGGCATGTAGATGGTAAGTACAGAAAGGCTTCATGAAGTAAAGAACATTTAAACTGGAGTAATGAGGATTTTAGATATAACTTTATATGTATCATTTTAATCATAAGTTAATATAACATTTCAGTGCATTATTAAAATAAACATGCTAGCTAACAATCTTGTCTTATTTCAGTGAACAATGTGGGGATGTCATACGAGTATCCAGAATACTTTTTGGAAGTTCCTGACTTGGACAATGTAAGTCTTTGTTTATTATGGTAACAAAAACAGTGCATGAAAGTATCAGTGAGACAGTGTGGAAGAATGATTCAGACTGAACATCAGAGTCCAGCTGTCTGCAATTCATAGCTTGGCTCTTGTGGGGATGATCCTAGCCATAGGCAGCTTTATAGGAATGCTAGAAGGATTGAATGAGAAAATATTTATAATGTCATTTATACAGTGCCAGGATCAATAATAACTGCAATTTCATTATTATTGTCTTTATTAGATTAAGATAACTCTATTTTAAGTATTGGGACATCAAAAAATCAGTTTAAAAACTCATAAATATGTTAATATATAGCAGCATAGTTGATTGAAGTAAACTAGCTTTACCAAAATGAAATCTGCAGCCTTGATACATGCATAATTCTTTAATGAAAACTAAGAAGTCACATCCCTGAAGACCATATCAGTTTTTTAAATCACTTGAAACTCTTAACTTCAATCGTCTCCACTTTCCTTATTAGTTGAGAGGAAATTACTAAATTTGGCTTGCGTGTTTTACCTTACATTTTTGCAGACTAGTGTGAATTACTTTTGTTACACATATTATAACATTGAGATAAAGCAAAATTCTACCTTTTGACCCCAGCTTCTGTGTTTATAGTTCTTTGCAATATCTGAAGAAGCTTCAGATGTGTGCCCCCCAAAGTTATTTGTAACATCATTACTTTCCTAATAAAATTACATTAAATTATCCATTTTTTTTGCAGACCATCAAGAAACTGATAAATATTAATGTTCTTTCTGTTTGCAAGGTAAGCAAATTTGTTACAAATCTGTCATCTTTTTTGACTCTTTTCTATCTAAAAATACTGATTATAGAATCCATTGGCTCAGTTCTGTCAACTGTTACTTGCTATGTGTATTCCAGGGAAATGTGGTCCTATTTCCTTAAGTCTTCAGAAAGCAGAAAGAACTGACCCCCAAACACACTTGTCTTAGTTTGCTTTCTAACAACCTAACAATTCTCATGTGTCTTCTGTACACATTCACCATGGTTGGTACCACAACTGACTGCAATACCTAGCTCAGGTTAAAGACTGACTGACCTGAGCCATTTGCTCTTGCTGATTTGTTTTCATACCAACATATGTAGTAATTTACTGTTAAATGGGAAGCCAGGAGTCTAGAAACTAATGAGAATAGTTTTTATTAGCTATAAATAATAACTAGCCAGGATAGCCTAACATGGTGGCAAATGTCTTTCATATCAGCACAAGGAGACAGCGGCAGGCAGAGCTCTATGAGTTCAAGTCTAGCATGGTCTACATAGTGAGTTCTTGGCCAGCCAGGGCTGCACAGCGAGAGCCTGTCTGAAAACAAAACAAGAACAACAAAGACATCCAGACTTGGTCACTAGTTGCTCAGTATGTGTTATAGTCATTTTACTCAATGTGTAACACAAGATTACACTGTGACTTTGTGAAAGGAGCAATAGCTAGAGAGAATAAACACTTAATCTCTGCTTGAACAGGAGCTGTGGAGGTTACTACTGACTTAATTACACCAAATGAGGGGGAAGTATTGCCAGAGGCTGAATTCCCATGAGAGTGTCAGAAACTTTAAATCTGAACATTCTTGTAGAAAGCCACTGCACTTAGTAACTCATGTATATTAGTATGCTTATTTAAGGAAATAAGAAATAGTTTGTCAGAACTATTAAAAATGATAAGGTAAATATAAATAAAAATTAAATGTTTCACTTTGTGATGGGATCTTGATGTTTTTCTCTATTGAGAATTTTCAAGAAAAACTATCTCCATGTCTTCATATCCCAAGAGAAACAAACAATGACCCCCACATGACTGGTTCAAGTCCAAGAACCCAGTACTGTACACTTGTCCTGACTTTTCTTGTATGGCTTTTGCTTTTCTCTGTGTAATGTAAACTTTAATTCCATGTTTACAGATAAGGAACATTGGTTAGCTTATTACTTAAAAGGCATCTCAAATGTATTATGTGATAAAATGGCAATTATTTTTGTTAAATTAATAATTACTATACCATATCATCTCTCGTTATGAATCAAGACACCCCCACCCCACCCCATGTGTGTGTTATTTGGCTTTTATATAAACTGAAGTGAGCAGATGAGCTACTGGTGGAGGGATGAGTAGCTAAAGAGCAAGACCCATGTTTGTGAAACTGATGCTTTTAAATGTGGCCAATGGGAATATGGTAGAATATAGTATGTAGTTTTAAGGGTATTTTCTTTACTAGATTCATATAAATGCTCGCCCTTTAGCAATCTCTCTAGGATTTTAGGATAATTAAGGAACTACCATTTTCTAGCCATTTTAGTTTTGGTGTAAATTACTTTTTCATTTTAATTTTCATCTGTAAATTGAAGATGATATTTATCTTTACCTCAGTGACTTGTTTGAATGAAACATGGTAATGTCTCTAAAACTCAGAGTTGGGGATGTAACTCAGTAAGTAGAGTACTTGCTTAGATGGCACGAAGCCCTGGATCCAATACTTAGAATAAAACCAGGCATGGTTGTGTGTACCTTAGGAAGTGGGAGAAAGGGCAGAAGGATCAGAAATTAAAGATCATTATTGACCAGGCTGAACTACATGAGACCTTGGAGAGAGGGTCAAAGATCAGCAAAGAGACAGACAGACAAGAGGGGAGAATGGGAGAGAGAGAGAACCTAAAAATTGTATTATTGCTATTAAAGTTAAAACTGAATATATGCAATAATGATTTTTTTAGAAAACAAAGGTTTTAAATAAAAATTATTATAAATTATGTTCTGTTATTGCTATATCTTGTGATTATCCTTTAAAATGAGTCGTTTTACTGTTGCTCTGTTTTGTTCTGTTTTTTTCCAATGGTGTATTTGGCCAAATGCTGAAAATAATGAGTGTTAAGGCAGTGTGAGGTGTTTCGCAACATATTGTCATAAGTTAATGAGAAAGCCTTGTTTGAGTGCTTAAGCTTTATGCTGTAGAATTCTTAATACCAGCTATAGGTTTGTCTGCTGATAACTTCCATTCTCCGTCAATCAGCTGTGTAGGGTTTTACTCTAGATCCTTGTCTTTTGTCTTACAGTCAGTCCTGCTTGCTTCATTGTTGACACTGCTGCTTTAAAATGCTGCCCTCCTGTTTCCCACAGCATGAATTTTTGGCTGGCTATCTCTAGAATACTAATGATGAAAGGCCAAGGCCTTGCTCTCCAGCCACAGACCATGTCCTTCCCACAGCACTGTAGCACACATAAGCATGTGGTCCATCTCGTTGTAGTGCTGGTGTGTGTCATGGATGAAATAGCACACATCCAACAGCCCTGCAAAGTAGCTAGCCTGTGTGTGTGTGTGTGTGTGTGTGTGTGTGTGTGTGTGTGTGTGTGTGTGATGATAAGCACCAGGGGACATGATACATATCTGTTTATCCTAGGACTTGGGAGACTAAGGCAAGAGAATCAGGAGTTTGAGACCGGCCTGGCCTACATAGTGAGCCCCTATCTAAGAGAAGAGGAACTAGGAATGGGATACTGTTCCTAATATCTTGTATGTTATACAGCTTATCTCCCCCTCTTTATTCTTCCTCTTCCTCATTCTCCATCAGCAGTAGAAGATTTGGATATAAGCTTAAAATTTATACAAGCCACCTTTTGTAGACTAGATCCTATTTTAAAAGCACTAAGGGAACTTACTGTTTAAAATACTTCCTCAATAAGTTGAATAATCATTCTTTAGTAAGTCTTAAGTATGGATCTAAATTTTCTTATATTATTGTGATGTAAACTTTGAATGGAAAGCATTCAGAATTCCTGGTTCATAATGCCCACTGGTTCATGAAGCATGGTGCACAGTTGGGTTTGTTTTGTTTTACTGTGGTTAAGATAAATAAATCACCTCCATGATACCATGCAGATGTGAAAATGGTTTGATTGGAGCAATGAGAGTGATCAATGAACTGGGTAAAGGAACTTGTATAGGAACTTGAGTGTCAACAGAAAGAGCACTATGGAGAGCTACAGAATCCAGTGTATATGTGAGACAGTGCTAATGTAGAATGACAAAGCCTTCAGTTTTCTATGTCATATATGTTTATCTTATTTATATTGAGGAAGAGCATTTTGTGTTGAAGCTTATGTGTGATGCACCTTAGTTTAGTCTCTTATGATGCTGTTTTGATGATTGTACCTATTGTTCTTTAACTGACTGCATTTTGGTGTCAAGGCCAGAATCAGCAATGACTTCTATGAGCCTTGGGGTAACTTAAAAGGAAAAGAAAACTAGCTTGGCTGCAGGATATTAGGTTTTATGGTGGTTAGGTAACAGGGGAACTAAGGCACAGGTGTCTAGCCTGAAGCTACAATAAATGTAGATTTGGTAAGATTGGAGTAGTCTTTCTTCACCATCAGGCTCATCTTTTTCATGTCTTCACCAAATAATAAGGTAAAAAATAAGGAGGGTACCAGGTGATGTTGGGTAGATTAGCTTGCCATGTGGTTTTGGATTCATACTCAAAATTTGAGGTAGAGCAGCATCTTGTTGAAAGATACATGTGCTCCTGCCCTGCATGAATGGGTCAGGTGATTATAAAAATCATGTAAGCCCAGAATTATAATAGTAAAATAATCCTGAACTCAAAGGAATTTCACACCATCACTGGATAAAGAGATGATCCAGGGGAATATCAGAGAAGAAATATTAACCAGAGCAGTGTGGCCACAGACCCCTAGTATTTAATTGTAAACATCTCTCCCAAGCCATTCAACAATCAATGGTTACTTTACTTTTGAAGATTTATTACAGTGTTTGTGTGTGTGTGTGTGTGTGTGTGTGTGTGTGTGTGCGCGCGTACACGCTTATGCGCACCCCCATGAGTACAAAAGCCCACAGAAGCCAGAAGAGGGTGTTGGATTCCCTGGCACTGAATGGTTGTAAACCACCATGTGGAGGCTGGGAACCAAACCTAGGTCTTCCTGAGAGCAGTTAGTGGTCTTAACCACTGAGCCCTCTCTCTGGCCCTGGTTGCTTTACTTTTGAACCTTGTCCAGTGGCTTGAGCTTTTTCTGTGTGGCTCACTTAATTAGTCTTTGCTGTCACAAGGAATTTTTTAAAAGCCTTGCTGCTTGCTCTTCCAGTGCTGCTCTCAGATCTTTTCTGGATTAGATTTAGCTTTGTTTTTGTTTCCTGTCCAGCAGGTGGTAGAAGTTCTGTAGAAGTGGACAGTATGACAGATAGATGAAACCTGAAGAGGAGTCCTACCAGGCTGTGTTTCCTCCAATTTCAATTGTTCTGTGACTAAACTCTCAGATAAACCTCATAAGAACAATGACCTTCACTCCAGAAAAGAGACAAACTTGAGGATATTGAACTACCCTCTTGGCAAATAGTTCCCGTTTTGTGCCTGGTGGGATTTCCACCCTAGAATACTCAGAGTTTATGAATTAAATTGTTAAACTGCTATTGATTACTGCCTGGAAAGTGGGAGTACCCAGAGTCAGGCAAATAGAAGGCTAACTTCAAAGAGACTGTGTAGAATTTTACAGCAATCTAAAGACAAAACTTGTTCTGCTTGTACCATTTGTTTCATATTTGATAGCTTGTTTCACTATCTTCTACATTTGGTGTTCTCATTTCAAGCTATTCTTGTCCTTTGATTCTTGTAATCATCGTCTTAGGACCCTTAGGAAAAGATAAGACACTTCTCTCCTTTCTAGATGAGCACTGTTCATATAGTATAAACTACTCACAGCCCCTGCCTAAGGGAGGCAGATACATTCCTTCCAATGGTCCT